TTATCGCCGAAGTCGCGGAGACCTGATTTTCATCAGGCGCATCCTGTGAGGAGAGATGGGGACGGAGCTGCAGGCATGCTTTCAATTCAATGCAAACAGTTCAACTCGAGGCCATAACGGGAAACTGTTTAAATCGAGAAGGCTCCGGGTCCATCCTGCTCTCACTCTATCAACCCGCGTAGTCAACGATTGGAACGACTTACCGACGCATGTGGTTGATGCCCCGACCGAAAAATGTTTCAAGTGGATGTTAGATTCTTATCTTTTGAATACGATAGCCCTTGCAGCTTCCACTGTAGCTGTCACGGTCCCTTGTGGATTACCGCTTAACAACGAATCGCGACCTCCACACAATGATCGAGAAACGATGGAGCTGACAAAGGATTTCTCCTTCTGCTGTCTACAATCTTATGAATCTATGAATTCTAGAAGTCGGTCAGTAGAGACCTAAACTCAGCCAAGGTCCGCAGCAGTAGTACAGTGCTCCTTGGGAGCGATTAATACGTTATTTTGTCAAGGTCATCGGCGTTTTGCTCTTTCGCTCGGCTGAGTTAAAGGTTTTGTTAAGGTCAGGTCAAAATCCGTGGACGATACAGGCTTCCGCCTAACGAGCGTCCAGCTTCTTCTACCGGTAAGCGGAGACTGCAGTTCGTAGGCTGTTACAAGTGTAGTGGTCAGGTCAGGTCAGGTCAAAATCCGTGGACGATACAGGCTTCCGCCTAACGAGCGTCCAGCTTCTTGTACCGGTAAGCGAACCAGAGCCCCCGGCACTTCGACTTTTGATCGCCTCTCCTTGCCTCTGCAAAAAGAAATGAAGCAAAAGCGAGAGCAATCTTTGCTTTTACAAGGATCAACATCGGATAACAATGCGAATAAATTGGATAGGATTATATTAATTCCGGAAAAATACGCGGCCAGCACCTGTCTAGGCCTGCTTTGAAGGCAACCGCAGTCTCACAATCCATTAGTTCCGAAGGCAACTTATTCCAGTTGCGCACTACACGATTTGAGAAGAACTTAGCCCTGACGTTCAGTCTAGCTCTCTGTTGTTTGAGCTTCAAGCGATGTCCACGCAAGCGTTCAGAATCAGCCAGCTCAAATAAATCAGAGGGCACGATGGCACTGAAGCCCTTCATGATCTTAAATGTTTCTATCAGATCGCCTCACAGTCTACGCCGTTCAAGGGAAAACAACCCCAGGCTCTTTAGGCGATCTTCATACGGCTTCCCCCGTTGACCTTCAACCATCCTGGTTGCTAGTCTTTGAATCTTCTCCAGGCAAAGAACATCATCACGGAGATAGGGCGACCAAGCTTGAACACAATACTCTAAGTGTGGCCTAACCACTGCTTTGTATAGTGGCAGGAACACTTCTGGCTTGGTATTACACAGAGCCCTCCTGAGGCGAAACAATTCTCGTCGCGCTTTGTTGGCGGCGTATCGACATTGCATCGAAGGCTTGAAGCTGCTCGTCATGATGACTCCTAAATCGCGTGCCTGGGTAGTGCATTGTAAGGGAAAGGGCCCAAAGGAAGTCTGAACTGCAAGTACGTCTCTACTAGTGGTCAGAATTTGGCACTTGCTTGCATTCAAGGGCAAGTCCCATTGCTTCGACCAGTTTGCCACACTGATGATATCCTTGGCCAGTGTTGCACGGTTGCCCCTGCTGACTAGCTTCAAGTCATCCGCAAAGATGTAACAGGGGTCTTCAATAAGAGGAGCCAAGTCGTTTATAAACATAAGAAACAAAAGTGGACCTAGCACCGATCCTTGGGGTACTCCACTGTAGGCCACGCCCACACTAGAACTCACATCACCGATTCTAACTCGAAACGTTCTCCCATATAAGAATTCTGACACCCAAGACAGAAGTCTAGGATGCACTCCGAACCATGCTAATTTTTCAAGTAGGAAACGGTGATTTACTGAGTCGAAAGCCTTGCTAAAGTCAAGATAGCAGACCTCTACTGGAATCCCGTCGTCAAGACATCGAGTAATCTCATCGAGGAAGCACAGTAGATTAGTGAGGCACGACTTCTTTTTAATGAAACCATGCTGCTCTGCTCTAAGTAGGCTGTGTTCCGCCAAATGCTCACAAATCCGGTTTCTTATAAGCTTCTCTAAACACTTGAGCAGAACACAGGTTAGACTGATGGGTCTGTAGTTAAGGGGCTCCGATTTGGAGCCACCCTTGTGAATTGCAACTATGGCTGCTTCCTTCCAGTCTCGTGGCAACTTGCATTCCTGGAGCGACAAGTTGAACAGCTCCAGAACAGGATGTTGAAGGATGTCAGCTAGTGGCTTGACTATTGCCGGATGTACATCGTCAGGACCGGCTGATTTGAAGGGATTCAAGTTAGTCATCACAGTAAAGACCTCTTGCGCAGTCAGCACGATGTCCTGCATTATATAACTGCTGACACAGTGTGGCTGCGATGGTGCAGCACATCCATTGTCCCTCCTATGCAGATTCTGAAAGACTCTTAGCAGCATTTCAGCTTTATCTCTGGCTTCCACAGCCTGGCTGCCATCTTCCATATTTAGACACCCAACGTCCTCTCTTAGGGAGGCTTTAGACTGAACATAGCCGTAGTAACACTTTGGATTTGTTTTCGCATACCGAGCCAGCCGAAGCTCATAAGAGTATTTAGCCTGCCGTTGCATCTTGATAGCCGTATTCCGGCTTTTTGTGTACTGTAGCCATCGTCGAAAGCCCCTGGCCTCAGTGAATTTTTTCCACTTCTCATTTCGTCTCTTTAGAGCTCTATCAATTCTCCTCCTCCACCATCGAGGCCTGCTGAAAGGTCTCGCAAAACGAAGAGGAGCAAACTCATTCAATAGTTGTATTAAACCAGTTTTAAGCACAGACCACCTATGTTCCAAAGATGCCTGTTCCTGGTCAGGGATCCAATTGACCTGGAGGGCTCTATCCCTCAATTTCATATGGTCGATGCGGATGAAATTTCTCACGAGGCGAGGATGTCGTGCAGGCTTCAAGGTATTTAGGCAGAAAGTGAGGACGCAGTGATCACTCCTACCTAAAGGTGCTTCCACTTGTAGCGCTGCGAAACGACCGTGTTTGGTGATGGCAACATCCAACGTGGAGGGGGCACTCCCGATTCGGCTCCTGGTCGGTATGTTGATAAATAAATAAATAAATAAATAGTACATTCTCGGTAAAACGAGACACACCTGTAAAGGCGTGATCAAATATGCATACAAGCATAGCTTCTGTGGAATGTTAAAACATTTCGTTTTTATGAAAGTTATAAAAGAAAAGATGTTGTCCGTATGAGTGAGCATACTGTCAGGTAATAGTCAGACCCAGGGACATTATGGCGCTGTGGCGCGCAAAAATCCGTCAAAACCCAAGTTGGGGGTAATTACGCCAGGTAGTGATCCGAGATAGAGATGATCTGTGCTACAACAAAGCATTGTTCATAGCAGAATTAGTAGCACAGGTTCGATGTAGAAGGCTGAGGACTGCGTCAGTGTGAAATGCATAGCTTGATGTATTGTTCAAGCTGTAGCCATCGTCGAAAGCCCCTGGCCTCAGTGAATTTTTTCCACTTCTCGTTTCGTCTCTTTAGAGCTCTATCAATTCTCCTCCTCCACCATCGAGGCCTGCTGAAATGTCTCGCAGGACGAAGAGGAGCAAACTCATTCAATAGTTGTACTAAACCAGTTTTAAGCACAGACCACCTTTGTTCCAAAGATGCTTGTTCCTGGTCAGGGATCCAATTGACCTGGAGGGCTCTATCCCTCAATTTCATATGGTCGATGCGGCTGAAATTTCTCACGAGGCGAGGATGTCGTGCAGGCTTCAAGGTATTTAGGCAGAAAGTGAGGACGCAGTGATCACTCCTACCTAAAGGTGCTTCCACTTGTAGCTCTGCGAAACGACCGTGTTTGGTGATGGCAACATCCAACGTGGAGGGGGCACTCCCGATTCGGCTCCTGGTCGGTATATTGATGTATTGTTCAAGTGCATTCTCATGCATCCAGTCAACCAGTTCCTGTTCCAATGTATCCGCTCTGTTTGCGGTGCCTTGCCAATCCGCATGAGGGAGGTTTAGATCACCAACTATTAGGAAATTAGGCGCAGCAACCACTGCGCGCCTCAATAGTGCACACGAGCTCTTTGTCCTTCTCTCGTGTGGACGACGGACTGCGGTAGACACATATAAAGCTCTCCAACCTGTCCATCATCCTTAAGTAACAAGACACCACCTGAACGTTCGTATTACTTATCATAAACGGAGCCTCCCAATGACTATACTGGCACTTTATAAGCAATAGTGCTCCCCCGCCAGTGTGGTGATCAGGCCTATCTACTCGGTAACTCACGAAATCTACCAGCAGGTCGCTAACCATGTCGCTCGGAGAAAGCCATGTCTCTGTCAAGGCAACAACATCAGCACATCCGCAGCGCCTCACCATCTCTCCCCATTTGTTCCTCACACTGCAGCAATTGGTATACCATACAATTAGTCCTGCTTGACGCGGTTGTTTCCCCTCGGGCGCAGCACCCGAGGGGACAACCCGTTTTTTGACACCGCGTCATTATCGCTCGCCGCCTGCAATGCTGGGTCAAGATTAGGCTCATGTAGGTCAACACGAGCAGAAACCTTGTCAGGTTCCGTCCGACTTGAGTTGTTTCGTATACGACCAGCTTGCTTCTTTCTCTTTAACTTAGAAGGTCTAGCAACGCTGCCTTCCGAATTTCCTGCAAGGTCAGCCTTGGGAGGTTCACAGCGCTGGTTTCCCAAACCAATCAGCGAGATGCACGTAGTGTCCTTGAGTTCCGAAGCAGCTGACATTATGCGAGCGGCATCAAATAGTCCTGGATGCGCCACCTGTAAGCTCATGTTTGCAACCCCACAACTTCCCCCGGGTAGGGAGCTGGAAGTGGTACTTCCGTTCAGTGAAACTTTGGTCGTTGTCACATGTAACTCGCGACTTATTCCCTTTGCAACCTGCATTGTTTGAGGACTCGAGCAGTCAACTGCCGCTGTGGTAGGAGTGCAGTCCCCACACAGTTCCTTTTGGTGTAATCGTGGCATGTTGCTGACTGACTCTGACCCCAGCGGCCGGAGATGCAGGGTATACAATCAATCGGCTGCAAGTACCTCCGGGTGAACTAACTTGTGAGGAAGCACCTTTCGCGGTACATGCTTCTGATACTGAATTTGTGGTGTGGTAGTTCGAAGGAACGACCTCCGCTGCAGTGGGACATTGATCTCTGGTAGGCACTGATGCAATGCGTGGATCACGTAAAGGAGCACCCTTTACCAAGTTCGCAGACACGCCAGCCAACCGGTTATTAGTATCTTCCGACTGACATACCCGCGGGACCTTGGTTTGTGAGCTAAGTGTGTTCGGGGCCACCTGATACCGGCCATTATACTGACTCTCGATTAAGCCGGCACGGTTTAGCAGTTGGTGACGATAAGCAGGGTTCCTAAATTCAACCAGAATCGGCCTAGCAAATCCTTGCTGACGCAGTGGACCAGTCTCTCTCCAGCTACCTACACGATGCACCCTTTTGATACCGACGTTTAAAGGTATCCCGGCTATGCGGAGGATGTCGTGTATTCGTCTCCTGTCCAGGTCTCGTCGAGCCTTTGCCTCGTGTATCACCGGCTCCTCCCGATTGTAGATAAGAACATTTCTTTGCCTGCCCATGGCAATCTCCGCACTCTGAGCGTAGCTATTTAAAGAATCGCGCAACTCGTCAATCTTCACTCGCAGTGCATCTATGAGCAAAGCCTGGTCGCTGATCACTTTTTCTGCGGTGGAGAGCCGCTGCAGATACTTCGCGTCAGCTACCCTCTGAACATCAGGCAACTGTGGAGGAGCATCAAGCCGCTCGCGTAATAAGCGAGCACAAGTATCAGCTAGGCACACACAGTGAAAACAGATCCACTTCAGTTGGGGATGCTGGGTGTACAGATCAATGGACGAACGGTCTAACCTAGAGCAGGTGCTATGATACCATAATAAACATCGGTCACACTGTATGCCTTCCGTGACTGCAGTGCCACAACTGTGCTCGCCACATTTATCGTTAGTATCAAAAGCCATAGTTATTTGGAAGGTGGAACCAAGAATAAGCAAAAAGCGAAACGAGCAAGCAGATGCAGGAGAAAACAGCAAAGAACAAACTCACGAAAGACAAAAAGCCTTTGGGACGGGTAGGTTCAAGTATGCAGCAGCAAAGATAGCAGCCCAAAAGTCGAAGAGTCGAAAGCCCTGGTTCACTTGCTGGTAGAAGGGCTAGATGTGGAAAGGCGGACCGTAGCGACGTCAGGAAGGATTTGGTTGTGACTGGAATACGAGCCAGGCGATTCAAAGTCGAGTCAGTCAGGAAAAGTGCTACAGCAGACTGCAGTATCTTGATGCCACAAAGCAAAAACGCCAGATCCAATGTAGCAGTCAGTTTTTAGCAGCAGTAGAAAATACTTTGGGTAGGATGGGTAGAATGAACGTGGTTTGCATGCACTACTATACACGGCAGAGAACCGTATAGGTAATTTAGCGCTTCCAAGTCCTTTTGGATCACAAGAAAAGTGACAAAAGCCAAATTTTCAGGAGTTCAGTGAAGAAAATCGCAGATCTATACATAAATCCACCGTCCGCAGTCGTTGTACAGTGTTCGTTGACGGCGATTAATGTGTATAACGGGCGGTTACCGAAGGTCCAAGTTATCCTGGATCAATATTTGATGGAGCAGAGTAAAGATTTCCCACGCAGTCAGTTTAGATCCCGCTTCCAAGCCAAATTTGAAGGTAGAAACTTCAAGATAGAGCTTTTTCAAAATTTCAAAGCGCGCGCTTGGGATGGGTGCAAAGCTGGACATGGGTTGCGAGCCGGACAATATAAT